TTGTAGAACGTTCTTCAGCAGCAGTAGCCCTCAGTCATTCAGCAGCTTGTAGATTGGCCTTCAGCAACAGAAACCTTGTCATTCAGCGGCTTGTAGATTGTCCTTCAGCAACAGTAACCCTCTGTCATTTTAGGTCATTCATCACCATTTTGATTGTCCTTCAACAACAGTAACCCTGAAACATTCAGCAGTTTGTAGAATCTCCTTCAGCAGCAGTAACCCTCAGTCATTCAGCAAATACTAGGTAGTCCTTCAGCAGCTTTAACCCTCAGTCATTCAGCAACTTTTAGATTGTCCTTCAGCAACAGTAACCCTCCGTCATTCATCAACTTTTAGATTGTCCTTCAGCAGCAGTAACCCTCAGTCGTTCAACATCTTGGAGAACGTTCTACAGCAACAGCAACCCTCTTTCATTCAGCAACTACTAGATAGTCCTTCAGCAGCATTAACCCTCAGTCATTCATCAACTTTTAGATTGTCCTTCAACAACAGTAACCCTCAGTCATTCAGCAACTACTAGATAGTCCTTCAGCAGCAGTAACCCTGAGTCATTCAGCAGCTTGTAGAACGTTCTTCAGGAGCAGTAGCCCTCAGTCATTCAGGACCTTGTAGATTGTCCTTCAGCAGCAGTAACCCTGAGTCATTCAGCAGCTTGTAGAACGTTATTCAGAAGCATTAACCCTCAGTCATTCAGCACCTTGTAGAACATTCTTCAACAGCAGTAACACTCTTTCATTAAGCAGCTTGCATATTGTCCTTCAGCAGCTGTAACCCTCAGTCATTCAGCAACTTGTAGTTTGTCCTTCAGCAGCAGTAACCCTCAATCATTCAGCAGCTTGTAGAACGTTCTTCAGCAGCAGTAGCCCTCAGTCATTCAGCAGCTTGTAGATTGGCCTTCAGCAACAGAAACCTTGTCATTCAGCGGCTTGTAGATTGTCCTTCAGCAACAGTAACCCTCTGTCATTTTAGGTCATTCATCACCATTTTGATTGTCCTTCAACAACAGTAACCCTGAAACATTCAGCAGTTTGTAGAA